TGTAAGCTACCCGATTTGTTAGCGGTTTGTTTATCCCATGAGCTTCCTTCTCACTCACTTCATTTTGCGGACGGACACACATACATACACACACACACATACAGATACACACACATACAAACCGACACAAAGTTAGCGCTTTATAAAATAGAAGATAGTCATGAAATAGTAGTCCTTAAATATCCTGACTTATGCTGTCTCATCTCCTAATTGTACCCAACTGTTCTATAAAAGTCGGTGAATTGATAAAAGACTAACCATATTTTTTTCTTGAAAGATTCGGATTTTGTCTAGTCATTGGTTTCCTTCTGAATTCGTTTCCTGGCAGGAGCATGAAGAAAAACACATCATCAATTTAAAAGTTCTGTGTGTATTGAACAATTCGCATTCAAATGCCACTGCAACTCTCAGCGGATGTGGTATGCGCGGCGTATTCCAAGAACGGAGTGACTTATGCGGAATACTTGATCATCTACTCGTTACCATCTACCAGGTTCTGCACAATGTGTGGATCTGATATTCAGACAAACTCTATGTTGGGCTTTAGCATTGCTGTAGGTTTTTTTTGTGTTTTTTTTGTTCCCGGTTAAACGCTGGCCCATTGACGCCCAGGCGTGACGCATGTGCGCGTCCGAACATTGGAAGCTCCGCATTGCGCATTCCTGACCGCGGCATGCCGCGGTCGAGCATTTTTGTTTCAGTTTTCCGCACATGCGCGACTCTTCCTAGATTTTTCGTGCTCATTACTATATAGTCCGTGAGCATATCCAAATCACGTGCTCACAGGAAGGCCAAAATATTCTTTGGCATTGGCCTTCTTAGGTTCTCCAAGCCTTTACCGCAAATGTTTGCACAGTTCATGTTCCTCCGTTTCGTTCTTATTAAATTACTAGTTTTGAATGCTCCAACTAAAATGCAAAAAATATCTGTTATCACGAGAGATTGAACGTCTTGCACTTATTGCTTACATTTTTTGGCCTTCGGTGGGGCGATCAAGGCGACAACATCACCTCGATTTTGTAGTCCACACATGAGCTCCCTAGACGATGCAGCAAATCGTTTTGAAAAAGCGCTCCCTTGTAAGTACTGTAGTTGGTTGTTAAATAAATCAGTGGTATGTTTGACAGCGCTCGTTGAGCTTTAGATCGCCAGAGTTCATGAGATGTCGTCATGTTCTCCGAAAATATCGCAGTCTATTTGTGCATACCATCCAGATTGAACAACAACAAACTGGTGGAACTTCGATCAGATGGCCAATCAGTGTAAGAAAAGAGGCTAAAATTTGTAAAAATTGTACTATATCGAAAAGTCGAAGTTCATGAAAGCTTAGATGAGCGAGCGACCGCATAACTTCCACGATTCCGATGCTGTAAATTAAAGGTGATAATCAAAGGTTGAAGAAAAATCTGGTGTTATCAGCCATTTTCTAGGTGCACTACGCTGGCTTATACAGTGAGTTGCGGGTCTAGCCAATGTACAGGTCAGGGATTTTATCTCTCCCACCCCCACCCCCGGTATGGTACCGGCTAACCGACCGCAGCGATGAAATCTTTGGGGATTAACTGAATAGCGAGGTTCATTCGAGGAAAGATGCGATAGTAATGTGCTTCTTTTAGTTATTTCTTAGGTAGGTTAGGTTAGGTTACGATTAAGTTTTTCTTTCCCAATTGGTTGGCGCGGGACGAACCGGAATTTGATCCTCGAAAGGTCGCGCGTTAAGGGGCCCATTTTCCTCCACACTACTTTTGCCCATGCTGTTTCCATTGTACTTTGAATATATTCTTGAGTAATTTATGCACTTTGACTTTACCACGCACCAATTAAATTATTATACCAATTATAAAATGCCTTTGGCTTTTTTGTTTGTTATCTCCAATTTTTTTTGCTTGTCAGTCAACTAGCACATGCGCCGAGTTTGATCAGAAAGCAGCACGAGCTCCGAGAAGCACGTGAGACATCGATTCTTGGAAACCGTCGTTAAATGTTTTAATTGGTCTGCAATTACGACATGTCCAACCGAACGAAAGTAACTATAATAGAATACTAGAATGCTATGATGTTCTTGGTATGCTAATTGTTGTCAAGATCTGAGATTCACAAGCTTAGCGTTCCCGCTGAAACGCTGCTCACACTTCATTTGTCCTTCACAATTCATTACTATGGAATCAGTCGACCTTTGCAAGCCTTTTTTGCTTCGTATATATTCGCCAAGTTTTTCGGCGGATTTCCCGTCTGCACAGCTGAATCAACATCTCGGTACGGGCACGCATAAAACGAATTTTTTCTGCGATTTCAATCACATTTGCTATGAAATTTCTACTATTGATTGCCATTTTTACGGGTAGGTCTTTTCGGAGTAATGTGGTTGGGTAAGCCACTTATTGGTTTGAAAAAGGTTGATTTTTTTCTCTTCGTCATTTTTAAAATGGTAGCGCTGTTTCTCGACAGATCATTAGAGAGGTCATAGTTCTCTGAATCTCCTCCTTCTATTGTTGGTTGTGAGAATAGCTTATATAATAGTCCAGACCGGGCGCGCGAAAGTTTCGTTCACAACCCAGACATTCTTGTGAAAAAATTTATGTAATATCTCGCGCTCGCCTTTCACAGTCGCACTTTACACTTGTGGTTGCCAACTATTTACATAGAAGCAACCTTTGTCGTAACTTAACCTCATACCTTAGATGGTCGACCACCATCAATCCGCATACATCACTCTAGAATCGAGATGGAAAGAGGCCTGAAAGCAAAGAAGTTTTGAACCCCACGAGTTTGAATCCTTTTCTTAAGTCGCCACTGCAGGAGCCATCATGGAGTGCGCTGTGTTCATTTGACACCTTCACTTTCGTCATTACCCCAGGATCGAGGTTTTCAAAGCAGTTAAATTGTTTCTGTAGGTCATACGATGGAAGCGGCCTCAAATCTAATGTAATGTTATGAGATTTGCATCGCGAAAATGTATTTTTAAGACTCTTGGATCTGCACTTCAAAACTGTAGCACGATTCTAGCTATAGAGCGCAAAACGACAATAGTTGTAGCTGTCTTGGCCCACAGGTGCGAGGTTGTGGGAGTGATTCCTTGCCGAGTTAACTGCTTTAAAAACTCGATTCTGGGGTAATCTTGGCTTCCAGGGGCTGTAAGGTATGCTTCCCCGAATGTTGCGGGGACGAAAGTCCCTTTAAATTTTTTGTTTTGAACGATACTGTTTCTTTATTTTCAATGCATGCTTACTTTAAGCTACACACATATATTAGATGTAGGCCCTTTATCAGGACAATCCCAGTTGGGACTACAGAGAAAATTTAAAGGAACTTTCGTCCCCTAACCCTTCGGGGAAGCATACCTTACGGCCCCAGAACAAAAAGACCATGCTCACCTATCGAAAAGTGCTAGTCTACGCATCTGGGGCAATAACTTAGGAACTCCTCGTAACTTTCTCAGACAGGCCGGCATTCGATGGCGAAGGCGCGTAAGGAGGTAATCAAGGTGGGACAAAGCTTCTAGCAATAATGCAGGTAAAGCAAAAACAAAAGTCAGTCGATCTCACAAGAGTCTCACCTATTGGGCCAACATTCTACGCTTACCACTTGACCGGTTGCGCTAATGACGACTACGCTATAGATCGATTTGCAAGATAGATTCGATAAGAGCGTTCAAAAAGACAGCTACCGATGTATCTATGTCTCTGTATCTCGGGCAGCCTCCTCGACCTGAGGCTTCCTCGAAAAAGCCCTATGACCATGAAAAGAGAAGGTGCAATTTAGGGAGCGCAAGATACAATGAGGCCGGTCTCAAAGGCAGTGCAAATCGGTCTAGGCATTTTTTCGAATCGTTAAAGGTGAAATCGCATCGACTAAACACTAGAGAATGAAATCATTCGTGTCGCTAAGCCCCTGACACCAGGCCTAACCTTGACTGTACTGTAGACAGAACAAAACGGCAAGAGAAGGAGCGAAACTACTACCACTTGCACGAAATCACAGAATACTTAATTTTGGAAAAAACAGGATTTTTTTAATCTCGTTTTGAGACACAGAGTCAAATTATCTGTAAATTTGAACAGTGAGTCGAGCTTAACTATTAAATAATGCAGACTTTCTCAAGGGTCAATCAGCTGAGTGACATGAGCTGCCAGTATTTGGCCACCAATTAACATGCGCACAACAATGAATTTCCCGACTATCTTATATCTTTAGTCAATATAATCTATTCTGCACTTGTCCGTCTTGGTTATTGCGTGGATAGTACGAGGGGACACTCTTCTGGCCACCAATCTGCGCAATTTTTCACAACCAAAAGGTTATTTCATTTCACTCGAATAGCTTACCACCTTTGGTATAGCTTCAGTTTCGCGCCAAAATTTATTCAGCTGTTTCTGGCAAGCCAGTTAGAGGTGCAAAAACGTAAAAGCTATCGAATACCTCACGTTTGAACTGATAGCTTCAGACACTATTTTCAGTAAGACTGTAAGATATTTAACTTAACCCAGGGCCAGTGCCCTACGTGCTGCAAGTAAGCCACGGGGGGTCGTACTGGATGGAACTTGGGGGGGGGATCGCAGGTAGCACAGAACACTGCTGATGAGATGCGAACGACTGGAGAAATTTTCCGTGTGCGTTATACCTCTGGGAATTATGTGCGATGGATAATAAGGGTGAAGATATGAGCAGATGGGGGGATGAAGCCTCCCCCACAAAAGTACAGGAGTAGTGCGAAGCGGGTCGTGAAAAACTTTCGTGAGGAGAATGGGTCCGTGAAAATTCTGGCAAAATGGGTCCAACGATAGGACCGACCCTGCTTGAGGCCGATATCAGACTTTGCGAATCTCGCTAGCATCCGCGGTCGCGTTGCGGTACCAGCCAATTGAGTGATTCACTGGCCGCGACGCGACCGCAGACGCCAAGAAACCAATCGCAAGGTGCTATTCCGTCAGTCTGACATCGGCTAGAAACTCTCAAAAGAGCTCCTCCTCTTCGTAAGATAAGATTTACCACTTTCAGCTGCTGCCGCACAATGTCCACCTGGACTGAATCCGCTACAGTCCAATGGTCAGCCGGCCACGTGTTCTCCTCAAGATCTGTGCAGGTGTGAGCAACTACGAGCAGGATCGAGTTGTCAGTACTCGCAGCAGCATATGGGATACATCTGCTGTGTTGGACAAGCACAGCGTAGGTTTTTTTTTCAGTTTCATTCACTTCGTAGAAGGATGAATAGGGGATTCGGTGTCCACCCATTTGAAGGGATACGCCACGCATCTTAATGTTCTGTTACGAGCATACATAAAAACGATGGAAAAGCAACCCTATTCCAAATTGAGGTAGAGATGGTGAGTAGTACCAGAAAGAAAGCGAAACCACGAAAAACGGCCCAGAACCGGAGAAATGGGACCCCTTCCTTGTCCGTTGATTTGAGCATTGATGGGACTCTCATCGCTTTGCCCTCTTCAACCCTACGCTCTCTCAGCTATCTAATCACTCGCCACCTATTGTACTACGGCGAGTGATCAGACGATCGGTGGGCGGAGATCGCCGAACTCGCCAACTTTGAGCCATGCTAGATCTCAGAGGTCAAATCTTTCGATGCCGATTGCGTGTCTGTCCGCACCCCTCAAGAGATTCACCGCTCTCCCCACTAGGCGATTTCTCCCTTCTTCGACCTTCGTTCTTTCCGTGCAATCCTCCTTATTGTTCGGCGGAAATCGTTACAGTTCATTTCAGTGTTGAGGTGTCTAAGAGGAATTGGGGACAAGCCAATTTATAACGTACAAAATTGGGATCTCTGAAATTTTGAAGTAATAACTTCATAGGTTGTTTATGCAAATCTTTTGCGAAGGGAGTTACTGAAGAAGCTTTTCTGTATTTCCTTTGGAACCGATAGAAGAGCTCATCAGTAAGGGCATCAATGGCTGCCCCTCAATCCCTAACTGCCACACTCCCTTGCGCTACGGTTTTCTTGAGAGTACCAGGACCAGTGAGGCCAGACGGGAATTGGGTGGAGGGTAGGGCAGATCCAGGGCGTGGGAGGTAGGGCAGCCATTGACATTGCATCACAATGCCCCCCCCCTTACCGGATGAGCGCCCATACCCAAATTATCAGATGGTATCAGGAAGCTTTTTATTCTATGTTCTAGATAGCCTCGACAGGATAACTCATATAGGCGGATGCCAGACTTTGCGAATCAAGTGATTCGCTAGCGTCCGCGGTCGCGTCGCGGCTAGCGCTATATTGACTGTTACCACGCGACTGCGGACGCTGGCTTTTTAACGCCGCTTGATTTTCAATGTCTGACATCGGCCTATGGTCAGATTCAACCCTTTGCGGAAGCCCAAACCGTGCAGCTCCTTAGAAAAGCTCAGTTATCATAGCGATTCATTAGATAGAGTTAAGATTCACAGGTGCGGCTCCGCGAACATAATCTACAGAGCATACTTGTCCCATGAGATTTCCCGAAGGTCCGCCCAAGTCAAGCATGTGTCACGAAATAGGCGACAATGGGCCCGGTTTGTCATGTCGTGGAGGGGTGGCATTGTAGGGGTTGTCAACAGGATTTAAGTTGATCACTGTAGGCAAGAAATTCTGTAATAACTGCAGAATGTGGAATGTCGTCGTCGCCACTAATCTCATCCACCGGTCAGACTGTCCAGTGTCAGTCGTTGAATGATTGCCCCAGTGGATTCAGCTGTCAGCAAGGAATCTGCTGTGCCAGCGGAACTAATCGTACGTTGTAATGTTGCGGCGGTTTGTTTGTATCCGAAAAGGTACTCTATTCAGCTGCGTGCTCATCCGGTCAATGCATGACCGGCCAGGTGTTCGTCAACGGTCAATGCTACAATATCGTGCCCATCGGTTCGACGTGTCAACGAACGGAGCAATGTCGTGGAGGTTCGATATGTACGGTACGGGTCTGAACACATTTATTTGATCAAAAAGATCTTTTGAATACTTTGCGATGAAAAAAGTTGACCTTTCATTAAGTCTACCACAGAGAAACGCCGGGTACCCGACAGGAGGCCCGTCGCGCGGCAAGAAGGCAGAGTCAGCGGACGAGTCGCAGCGCGTGATGTGCGATGTAGGACGTACAATGGTACATTCTATTTAACTTGACGCGAAATCACTACAGTACGCGCTGCGACTCGTCCGCTGACTCTGCCTTGTTGCCGCGCGACGGGCCTCCTGTCAGGTACCCAGAAACGCCCACCGATCCGTACGAACCAGATCCACTGTATTCAACAGCGAGGTGGGTCTGCAATGCAGACTTAGCAACATTCCACACGGCATAAAATAATCAATATCATTGAAAACCATGTGGCATTATTTCTTTTATTTCACCACATTTGTATTGCCGCCAAAAATTGTAGCTCACTCAGCAAACATCACGAAAAATCAACGTCAAGCGTGATTTCTGGGCTACTGGTTATATTATGCCGTGTAGTACGGTGCTGAGTCTGCATTGCAGAGGTAGGCTACCGGAAATAAAGGGCAATTAACACGCTTAGTAGGGAGTAATTTTCAAATTTATGCAGTTCTTTTCAGAAGGCTCGAAAAATACCTTGAAGCTACTTCCTACTAAGTGAGGCAGTCTTTTGAGCCCCTTCCTCCTTTCTTACACCTGCAATAGATCAACTGGAACTTAAAAGTAGAAAAAATTAAATAAATAAATATGAAAAATATTCATACCTATCAAAAGTATTACCTTAAATGCGAGAGATCGATTTTGTCCCTGGGCAGAAAAACCTTGAAGTGTTCGCCGGATTGACATATGTACAGCCTGAGCAATTCATAGTTGCCAACCGAAAAATCTCATATATAATGAAATCGCGCGAGCAGTGAAGCCTTTGTCTGTACACGTTTTTGATAAAAACCGGTGTATTTTCTCTCAAATAGAGGGCGCGCCCTAAGAAAAAACACTTGCACTGTGTAAAAAGGAATTGGGTGCTAACTTAGTTGGGGGGGGGGCACGCGGCGGCGCGGCAGTCTGCTCGCCTGGCATGTTCGGAAATCCGTGGGCCAGGGGGAGTGTAGCCAGCCTAGGGGGGGGGGTGGGGGCAGTCACTTGACATGCGTGAAAAGCTGGAATGTTCGAGTTTACACTGTCTCGCTCGAGAGAGCCCAGGTGAGCAGACTGCCGCGCCGCCGCGTGCCCCCCCCCCCCAACTAAGTTAGCACCGGCGGGAATCTGATCTGTAAGGATTCAGAGCAGTGTGGGACAGTATCACATTTCCCAAAAAGCACGGGGAACCAGTGTATTACAAGCATCTGGATTGAAAATTTGTTCCGAGTTGGTTTTTGAAAAGTGATTTGATTAGGGATTTTCTAAGGCCACATCTTTCGATTCTATCATACAACCTAATTCCGTGATGACGAACTAGATCTGGCAAGCCGCAGAGGATTGAGCCACCTTTGAGCGAACTCATCGGTTTCGATAATTTGGGCTATGTCTAATGAGTTACATGCAAAAATATGACTGCCAGCGTCAGCCGAAAAAAAGTATGATCTCGCTTGAGTGGAACCAGGGTCAACCGTTACGTTGGACCGATATTGGAGCGACGTTGGACCGATGTTCACCGCTCTCCGCGCCGGCATTCACTCTCGCCACCCGCGAGCCGTCTGTGTCTCCGTGCGTACGTTCACTCTCGGCATTACTCTCGTCGTCGCGTTGGACTTTGTCCAACGGACGGTTGACCCTGTGTTGGAGCTCTGTGTCTCATTCTTTTCCTATGAGCATTTTGCGTCCCGACTCCGATGTGTTTCTCGTCTCAACGCCTCCTGTTTCTCAAATTGTCTGTGTCGGACTCAGCCTCTATCGAGAAAAAGGAGTTCCTTATTTTTAAAGTTCTCAGAGTTTCCTTCTCCTTTTGTCAACTGCAACTACATATACCCTCTATTTCGGAAAACGAGAAGAGCGTCGAGTGCAGACCACACACCACAAGTGACGACGGCCAAGAAAAAAGTGGCTTTTTTTCTTTTTCTTGGCCGTCGTCACTTGTGGTGTGTGGTCTGCACTCGACGCTTTTCTCGTTTCCGAATGGAGGGTCATATGTATGCTATTTGCTCTCTAATTTGCTACATGCTCTTCTAGCCTCATTATCCCTCCTTTCTACTAGCGCAATGTGTCTTTAAGGCCTTTCTCAGGACAGCGCTAAATGATGAATGCCTGCCAAAAATGCATGATTTTGCAACGATTATTTCAAAAGGTTCTTTGGGATGTATGAACCACGTATTTAAAGATCTATTCTGTACACATTTCAAATCAATCTGACATTTGCGGTCAGAGAAACACCGAAATGTAATCAAATGACGCGGAGTGACTGATTAAACAAGGACGATTTATGAGCTTCTTTCCAGAATTCGCGTTGTGAATGCCCATACGGAACCAGCAACGTCGATGGGGAATGCAGACAATATGGGAGTGCCTGCGAATTAGGAATGGTAAGTTTGACTTAGAATAATGGAAATTTTTTCAGGATCAAAAAAATACTGCGCTTATTCGCAAACTGACTGAAAGGGCAGAAAAATCATTGAAATTCATTCTAGCAGAAATGTACAATCATAGTAAAGAAGCAAATTATGCGATGTGAACTCTGCTCTTGAACATTGGTTCAAACCAGTCTACTCTTTTCCGGAAAGGCAAAATTGTTCCCTAACGAGCTACTTCGTGCTTCTCCGGAACCCCTTTCAGTCGTTGAAAAAAGCGGCTCAAAACCAAGTTAATCTATGGCCGACGGAACTGCATGTGTTCTCAAAGGGAGCAACAACCCCGGATCGAATTAGTGGGGTAACAGCGGACGATAATGAAATTGTGGATGCCGAACTGACTGAAAATGAAAAAAGAAGCAAAGCAACGCCGATAAAGCCATTAACAAGTATTCCCCTCTTCCTCCTGAAATAAGAGAGGGCGGGGCCGGACGAGTTGTACGAACTTGCTTGCTCCATGGTTTCACTGGCTCACGAGTATTTGAAGCTGATAGTTGGGGTAAATGATGACAACTGATAGAATACAACTGCAACAGGCTAATCATTTCATTGGCAGAAAACATTTACATTTTGTGGAGGCCGTCGTCACTTGTGGTGTGTGGTCTGCACTCGACGCGCATCTGGTTTTCTGGAACGGAGGGTATCATTAGACTGATCGATCGCGTGAGCGTAGAAACGGAGTATCTTTTGCGGGCTTGGGAAACTTTGTAAAGAGTTGTAGACTTCTTAAATGCCAAAATTCAGGTGATGGTGAATGGCCAGTGTGAATCGCTATCGTCTCCAGGGATGAGCTGTTTTGCACAAGAACAGTGCATCGATAACTCTCAATGCCTCGGGAATACCTGCAGTTGTGTCCAGGGATAGTGAGTTGTTTCCGAGGAAATTCCGAGGATATAGAAAAGGCTATTGTTCACTTCTACTCTGCTGGCAGCTTCGCAGAAGAGTTATTTTCAGCAGCTTAATAAATGGATACTGCATCAGATATACGGGAGGGCCATGTCAGCCAACTCAGGTTTGACCACCACCTTAAGTACCGCCTTAGAACTCGATAATTTCGCATTTCTTTCAGACCCTTGATAAACAATCAATGCGTGACGTATTCAATTGTCAGCGGACCCTGTATGGCAGATGAACAATGTGTAGGCGGAGCTACCTGTCAGAACTCCATCTGCCAGTGCACCCCTGGGTAAGCCTACCACGTGTGAAAGTAATGAAAAATGGATGGCAGGATGACAGAAGTTTGAGGCTTCAGGGTTAACGGCGCACAGTATTGCAAACATAGTAGAAGTTATCACCGATTTGAACCCGCAAATTTTGAGCGCAAGGGTCCTAATCGAAAATCGCGCCATTCACAACGCCTACGGCATTGGGAGCAAAACCAGATCGACTGCTCCCAAGGGTACCAAGACTTCATTAATTGATAACATCCTTATATGGGAGGAGCGCAACGGTAGTACATATGTCTGCCGCATTGAAATATTAGCCATATCACATACCAATGCGAAACGCGATTTCGTATGGGAATAGAGTGCATGGCGCATCTTAATAATGTACTTATGAATGTTGAAAGCTGTATCATTCCATCCTTCATTATACACCTCACTTGTTCAAATATTGGGAAGAGAAGTGACAGGTTGCGAAAGCTACCATGTTCAAAGCGTGGGAAATAACCCCGCGACAGCCCTAGACGACCTTGTTCTGTAGAACTACACGAGCATTGACTGAATCGGATGTCCAACCTCTTCACCAGTGGACTGTCGTATAGATCAAATACCAATCAAATGCCGCGACGATTCCAAATTAAAGTCAATTGCATGGCTCATCCAAATTAGCAGCATATGTCACAATTGGGATTCAATTAGCAGTATTTGTTGCACTGGTTTTCGTTTAACTGCCCCCAGGCATGCAACGAATGCGGATAGAGCTATGGCCATGACTTCCGAGAGCGTTTCATTTAAAAAGTCTATGTCTATTTATTTTTTGGCTTTGTATTTAGTCTTCTTTATTTTCCTTTCCTTTTTTTATTATTTTACTTTCAAGTCTATCGTATTTGTCGACGCTTTTCCTGACTACCTCGGCTTATAACAGCTGCTAATCAATGATAATCGATAAAATACTGCAGGTACACTGCTATGTATGGCTTCTGTATCCGAGACACCACCAGTCTCCAATGCAGTGGTTCCGAGGTATGCAACTTCATTCTGGTTTCCTTTTGATAACAACCTTCTCTGATGCCTAATCTGTTAGAAATTGCTACCTTCGCATCAACAAGACAGATCTCTGAATAACGCGAAACCATGCCCTGTCTAGAAAAACCTCGGGCTCTGGAACTGTGACGGAATTGGCCAGATGAGAGCGATACGCACTTCAGGAAGACCCCTTGGGGCAAATCCCAACGTACTCAAGATTTGCCTAGAATTTTCAGGAAAAGAATCCTGAAAATTTAAACTTATAGGACCATAGTAGGTAGCAGGTGCACATGAATGACCTCATTCACAGCGTTTCGTCTCCCACTGAGTACCAGTGCTGAAACAGTGATTTGTGCTCGAGAACGATCGGCAGTACTTCGACGGGAATGGCCCGCGCCCCACGGGGCAATCTTTTGTCAGAGGAGTTTGCACAGATGGTTCAGCTGCTGGCTGCCCTCTCAACCAGACTAATCATGCAGCGCTCGAGTTTTGTTTGCTTTCGTCAAATCCGACTCTTCGAAATGGATGCGGTCTAGTCGCGAATTTTCCGGCATCATGAAATTTACGATTGATGGGACAGGCTTTTTTGCTCTGGGTTTCGCAGTTCACCTATGACCCCTCCTGCCCTGGTTTGACTCCCTCGATATTCGCAAGCTTTGGTGTTCTCAACTTGGATTCAGTTGTCTGACCAATGTGATTTGATTGAATCTTGAGAAGGGAGGAGGAAGGAGTATGATAGTAGGAAAGTCATATGAAAAAAAAGGAAAATGGGCGCTATCACAATATACGGGGCAATCCTCCAGTACTAAGCCTGTTAGGGGCAGGAGTTCTGGGGAAAATGAAAATGGCGAACGCCCCTTGGAGTTTCTCCACCACCGCCTAAGGCTTACTTAGTCCCGTTTTTGACAAAAAGACACTTCTTACGCGGCTTTAAACGTATTAGCAACACAATGCCCCCGTGTATTGCGATAGCACCAGGAAAATGAAAACAACAAAAAAGTAAGGAACTCAAATGAGGCAAAATGTATTAGGTACCGGATATCTTAGTGTCGCTTTTCTGAGTTCAGGAAGTTTTGGGGCCGATTACTATGGAAAATCAATATCCCAGAAGGCAGTTTTTGCTCATTAATATTGCGAAATATGTTGCTTACCGTCTTCTATTGTTGGTTCACAATTTAACTTTCCCCCAATTTTTATACTTTCTTCTGAAAATTCCTGGGTCCAGTGTGCAAATTCGCATGTGTGTACCAAATGCTTCAAAATTCTTGCTGAGAGCTGTAACCTCCGCCCACCAAACCAGCATTGCATTTGATGGAGGGAATACTACCATTTAAAATGCTCATCGGTTTTTCACAGTTTTCTTAAAAGACAGTAAAGTCTTTGAAGGGATGCCCGCAACCGTCGCCAAAAAGGTGGTCCTAGCTAAATCAGTCAAAACGGGGCTGCACCAGTCTTGTGCTGGAATGGTAGGACACCCTAGCAGTTACTGATCGATGGTGCACAGACGCTCTAACGAAGTTGATTGACCAAGAAATTCTAATAAATGTGCTCATCTGCTACTCACGTGTGCTCAAAAAGGGTGCGTTTTTGACCCTATGTGGCAAAAAAGACTCCGGGAAAAATTGTCCAGTTGAGCTGGTAAGTAATAAATTTTCCACCAAACAGTGCAGACCCTACTCTAACTAAATGTATACATATTTTGTCCAGGCCCAACTGTTTAGCAAGGTAGAGGGATGATTTGTCAGATGATGTCAAATTCGACCTACCTCTCTTTTTCGTCTCAAAAAATTCCTAACTTTAATCGTACGAGGTTTTCACTCATACTGGTAAATGGGAAAGGGCTAATGAGTCATTCGATGGATATGCCGTTTCACTCACTGGATTTTGAATTAAAATATTGGTGGTCCGAAACTCGCGGTGAAAAAACGACACTAAGATATCCGGTACCTAATATTATATGTAATGAAGTCAAAACAGCGAGTTTAAGAGCGATACTGCTGGCAGTTTGAGGCCGTAGACAAAGGCTGTGGGCGTAGGAGAATACGTGAAAGAAAAGCGCTTGAGGGAGAAGCTCTGAGAAGGGATAAATGCAACGTGCGTACAAAGTTGAACACGTATCGATGCAAATTGGGCTAATACATGCAAAGATTAATACGACCCGTTTCTCGTTACTCGAGTTGTAGGTCCCCACAGCCCACCGGGTTGCTCAGTGCCTCTCAGGTCAGGCTATCTAGCGATGAAAACACTAGTTTTCGTTCAAAGCAATGCGTAGGACTAAATACTAGCGACCAGGCAAATAAGAGCGTAAGGCTGAGCTCCAACTTTCAAGCAGAACTTAGGCTTGTCCACTGGCCGCACCTCGTTATAGCTTTCGTTACAGCTTTGGCGACCATACTCGGAGAGGAGAACTGAAAATCTTCCCAGCTCATCTTCAGTTCCTGGTCCTACTCCCATCCAGAGGTCAATCGCCCGTCCGCACTTTTCGATGGAGTGGTAGCATTTTGGGGTTGAGCAAGTTTAACTACCTCTGTGAAAGTGTGAAGGCGTGAGGTTGTATTTGGCGACGGCGTTCTCGCGGTCCTTTGGCGTCATTTTGCAAATAAATGTACGAAATCCGGGGAGCTTCCGCTCTATGCATACCAACTTTTCAGTGAGAGAAGAGTGCGCAGTGAGCTTGCCAACTGGTACTATAGAAAGAGCCATGATGGTGAGATTGGAGGAGGTCTGTCGTATAGGAGGAGTCTCCTAATTGATGGTAATGGCTGAGGGTCGCATAAGAGCCTCGCTAAAGAAGAAAGGGGTCACAAAACTTTTCTGGAAAGTCGGCGAACGCGACAGTTAAGCTGCTCTCCGTCCTCTATTCTCCAAGTTACGATCCAAATTTCTCAGAAAGCCACATTCCTCAGGAAAACCTTCCATTGCACACTCAGGGATATGAGAAGAGTAAAGCTCGCAGCTGTGTTGTTTTTCTGTACGATTTATTGATTTGGTATAAAGGAGTTCCTTAGACGGCGAACTAACTGTGGTATTGCAGGCTGATATGAGTGCGAATGTTGAAATGCATGCGACGGTAACGATCGGAGGTCGTTGTGTAATCACAGCATGCCTCGGTGATACGACCTTTTGCACCAGTGGTTATTGTCGAAGTGTGGGCAGCGGTTCTCTCGGTGGTTAATGGAAAATGCATGCAGTCCTTCCTGTCGGCCAAAATCAGGTGCTTTTTATTCCGCGGCAGGAGAGAAGAATGCTGGTTTCAGACTTTGCCAGCGATTCGCAAAGTCTGACATCAGCTGGATCGATGGATTCGCTACTAGCGAATCGATAGGTTTACAAGATGTGCCGGTGTCAGACCTCAAAACCTAGCGATTCGCTAGTAGCTAAGCCACCAATCCAGCCGGTTTCAGACTCTGCGAATCGCTGGGCAAAGTCTGAAACCCACTTAACGCGTGCGTAGTAGGGTCGTGCGCTACATACCATTCCGTACCATTTTGACCTCGACCTTTTCCTTCGAGTTTCTTCTATTCTTCAGGTTTACGTCAACAGACAATGCTATCCGATGGCGGTTGTTGGTGGTCCATGTATGTTCAACGAGCAGTGCACTGGCTATTCCCAATGTACGAACGGTTACTGTACGTGCCCAAATGGTGCACCAGCAACTAATGGCATGTGCAACATCCAAAACAACGGTTGCAAGTCTTATCAGGTACGAAATCCTTCTGAATTATTTCAACATTACATCAGATCTTTAAGCGCAATGTTCCTCGACCGGGCCCATTCTGTCATAGTGTGCCAGGGGTACGGTAACCCTAATTTAGTGCAAAACGTAAGGCAAATGTCAAATTTTACGCGCGATTCGCGATTTTTCACGAATCGCGCGTAAAATTTGACATTTGCCTTACGTTTTGCACTAAATTAGGGTTACCGTACCCCTGGCACACTCTCGACAACTATCCAACACTCAGTTGGGTGCACCAATGGCTCTGTCTACAGGGTGAGGCATAAATACGGTGAGAAAACTGAACACTAAAAAGCGGGGGTCTCATCCAGTAAGGGGGGGGGCATAGCGATCTAGAGCATTTCAAACCATGGAAAGCACATTATTTTATTGTAGACGTTCAGGACTAAGCCCTAGAAGGGAAGGAGCCCCCGG